CTGGGTGGCTCAGTTGGTTGAGCGACTGCCTTCGGCTCAGGTCATGATCCTGGAGTCCCGGGATCGAGTCCCACATCGGGCTCCCTGCTCGGCAGGGGGTCTGCTTCTCCCTCTGACCCGCTTCCCTCTCGTGCTCTCTGTCTCTCATTCTCTCTCTCAAATAAATAAATAGAGAATCTTTTAAAAATAAATAAATAAATAAATAAGAAAACAAACACCGTCTGAGAGGGCAGAAGAGGAATCTGGTTCTTTTATTTCACAGGACGACTGCCTCACAAAATGTAATAGTAGCAAGAGGCCCTGAGGAAGCAGCCTCTTCCTTCTGAACCAGACGGCATTCCGACAGCTGCATTTCACCGAGTCAACTTTCACCTGATTCCTACTGCCTGACATGCACAAGCCTTTCATTACATGCAGAAGTAATTCTCTGGCACTTGTTAAGGAAGTTCCAATAAATACTTCAAAGATTGAATATCATTAAATAAATGATTATAGCTCATTTCCATATCTAATTGGCAACATGGATGCTGAGAATTTACATCTGCCCCCTAAATCATCATCTACAAGATCACAGAGGTACCGACCGATGTCTTGCTGAATAAGCACCTCAGCATAAAATCAAACAAACTTGGTAAATTAAATGCTGTGGGCCAAGCTTGAAATGCCAGCAACTTATTACTAAAAAGCTCTCATTAAGAATAACAGACACCAGCCTGACTACTGTACACATATTTGTGAAAGACTCTCCGTTTTTCCTTTCTGGTGCATTTCTGACGTTGCTCTCACTGTGGCAGATACAAATGTGGCCATGTAAAAAAAAAAAAACAAATGTGGCCATGTTTGCTAACTTCCCAGTTTCATTTTTCTTTCCTCCCAACTCAGTGTGTGCCGGAACTTGGGGCAAAGCCAGGTTTCACTCCCCTTTTTCCCCAAGACATGATTTCAATAAAAATTCCAATCTATGCTAAAACCATTTACAGAACCAGAAATCTGGGCTTCAGAAGGACTCACCATGAATGTCGCCTTCTCCCTAGAAAAGAAAAGAAATTTAAAATTTACTTCAGTTTTTATTTTTCTTTTTTTAAAGTTAATTTTTTTTTAGTAATCTCTACACCCAACATGGGGCTCAAACTCACAACCCTGAGATCAAGAGTCACATGCTCCTCAGACTGAGCCAGCCAGGTGCCCCTCAAAACTTACGCCAGATTTTAATTTTATAACAAACAAATAAAGCAGTCACAGTTCTGACGGGCTACTATCTATTTGAAACCAAACGTGAAATTTCATTTTGATGCAGTCAAGTCCAGGGTCAGGACGCAATGCAATTACATTACGACCTTTACTTACTTTGGGACAAGGCTGAACAAAAATGCTGCAGGACAAGTTGCCCCAGTGCCAGCAATATCCAACACACCAAAAAAACTTGAACATTTCCGCCAATGGCCTAATTCAATGAGCATTTCAGAGGATCTTTTATCAGAATGGGAAACTGGTAAATTTATCCTTCCATTCTCCCTCTCCTTATCCAGTTGCTGAAGGGCCTCTATAAATTCCAAAGCCCCACACAGGTCTCTCCACATTTGCACGGCTGATGCCTCTGTGTGCTCTGAGGTCCCTGCTCAGAGGCTTCTAGACACATCCCTGGGGGCATTGGGACCATGCTCCTCTGCAGACACCTGAGGGTAACGCCTAGGCTGCAGTCTCCTGGAGTTTGGCTCAAAACAACTGGGCAATGTTTGCCAACAATGAAAACAGTCTGAACTCACAAATGCTACTACATATGAGTTACACAGGAAATAAGTGTGATCCAGAAGTTCCCAAAATCAACAGTGAAGGAGAGAGACTAATCCTACTGGTAGAAGAGACATCTGAACAAACCTAGATATGTCACCTCACTTTTCTGACTTTATTCTTTATTGATCTTCCATTCCCAATATGGCCTCAGTCCCTTTCCTAATTATCTCTATGTAAGACTCCAGTGGTGGAACTGAAGCTCTTCATACAATAGGAGAGAAGTGAATTTCTAAACTGTATTAACCTCAAAGCCCTTTTTCCCCCCATGTTGTCACACTGACCTTCAGATCTAAGAAGTCTCCAGCATTTGCTTCAGAAGAGTTCCTTCTCTGGGGTCCAGATGACTCAGAATCCTCTCTGCCACCACTAGACTTGGCACCTGAATTAAAACATACTTTCGTGAGGAACATGACAGAAAGAACTAAAGCAAAAACACTTCTTTCGTGAGTGATGTTCATGTTAGTCTCATATTACAAAATGAGCAAACAGGGTTAGGAGGGTTAACTGAGAGCTTAAAAATTCTACCAAATAACCCAATTTGACCTCAGTCCTTATTCTGACCCCTCAAGACTCAGGAGTTCCCACTTCTTGGTCCCAGTCTTTCCTCCACTGACAAGCTTTAACTGTTGTTGATCTCATTAAGGTTGAGCTGGATTTTGCTCATCACACAAAACCAACTTTAGTTATTCATGCTGGGTCTGGACCTTTTACCAGTGATCACAGATATAAGCAGTACCTGCCGACTTGGCCCATGAAGGAGGATTTTCCTCAGGTGTCCCAAAGATGCTAGATGCCATTTTGTTCCTCCTCACAGGCTGTTCTGCTGGTTCATCAAAGCCTAATGAAAAATTGGATCCACCGCCTGGAGGCTGCAAAACCCGGGAGCTATTCCTGCTGTTGGGATCGACTCCCTTGAAGGTGGTGGTGGTGGTCATGGTGCCGAAGAGCGAGGTAGGCTGGAGCGGGAGCAGAGCGCTGAAAGGGTCAGGTCCGAGGGGCGCGGAAGTGCTCCCCACCCGACCACCAGCGACCGCTGCAGGAGCCTCCGCCACCGCCTGCTTCACCGGCCGCAGCCTTTATAAAGCTCGAAAAACACCCGCCCCCACCCTGCCGGTATTGGCCAATTCAAATAGCTTTTTTGTTCCTATTGGCTCCCTGGAGTGCCAAGCATCGTGCGGGCACCTTGATGGGCTGCCGTGGCCCCAGCTCAGCCTAAACCCGCCCCCTTCCTGGTCAGGGTAGGTCTTTGGAAGTTCCCCCTCCCCCACCCCCAAATCTCGGTGATGATTGGACAAAGGACAAACCGGCCCCGCACTGGGCGCAAGTTGTGCTCGCTGTCACTTAAGAAAGTTACCTGACCGAGGGAGAAGCTCGCCCTGGGCGAGTTGGAACCCACAAGCCGAGGACAGATTTGTCTTTACCATTCACTTACCATTGCCTTACTCATGGGGAGATATAGTAAGGCATGCTCCTCAAGGGATGAAAATTACTGCCACAAATTGACATTCATTGAATACCTACTGTGTGTCCCATTTGGAAATATGACCGTCTCGAAACAGCAGCACTATGAGTCAGCAACAGAAAGCAAGCCAAGATGATCCCTTTTAAAACGAGTCGAAATTCTTCACATTTTAATGTTATTATTTAGCTGTCATGGGTGGTGCATGTACTAGACCAAAATTACAGTCGTTCCGATTTGAGGGCCTGTTCCAAGGCTGGTTAATGCTCGGTGGTGGGGAACAGTCACATCCCTTGCTACCAAGACTGTGGAGGAGCCCTGGCCTCTGCAGCTGTTTATAACCCTTAAGTCATGACTCTTCCACCTGTCTGGGTAAATCTATCCCTGCAACAAATGCAGACAACACTTGGAGGGCTCAAGAATGGCTGTTTACAAGATCCTAATAGGAAAGCCTTGAGCAAACAAGGATGGAGGCCTTCCCATGTCGTGCATGTTTCCTCAAGGCAGACCTTTTTCAATATTTCCATAAAAATTAATCAACATTCCTCCTTGTGTAGCCTCCTCTTTCCTGGCAGTTGGAAGCTTCTATCCTTTTCATGAAAAGCCAGAGAGAAGTTCTCTTCTAGAAGGCATGGATGATGTCTTTATGTGCTGACCACTTGTTTGAATTAAAATCTTCCCATTCTTACAGGCTGGGCCTAAATTTCCAAAACTTTTATTTTTAATCATTTATTTTTTCCCAAAACTTTATTTTTTTTAAAGATTTTATTTATTTATTTGACAGAGAGAGACACAGCGAGAGAGGGAACACAA